TGAACAGAGGGGCGCGCCACCGTTGGAGGGGCAACAAACCACAGGGAGAGACGAACGAGCGAGCAACAGAGCGGTGCACGGAGGAATGAAATCGTCAAGAGAGAGGAGAACGGATGTAGGGAGGTGTTTTTATGAAAGGCGAGCAGTGTGCGTTGACGTCAATTATATAGGTGGCCACGGCAGATAGCCGCGTCCGTGCACGAACCCCGGTCTTCTCCTTAATGGGTTAGGTTTAGGTCGCCGGAAAGGTTATCGGTCTCTCCGTGTTCCCACTCTGTCCCTCTCGTGCCGCCACTCTATCTTACTCCTCCGAGCTAGGGATTTTCAAAGTAGATAAGTCTCGAGACGAGAGCAACTCCGACAGTTCTAGCTTCTTGCCTGCGAGAACTATTCGCGAGGGTGGGGGGAGAAGTTGACGAGTAGGTGTGCAATATTCACGAGGACAGAGGGAGGATCCAGGCACGCCGTGACATCGCCTCTCTCTCTCTCTTTGTACACCCACGCGTGATGTTCAGCTGGCAACACAAGGCGTTCTGCGTTTGTTCGTTGGAGTGAACGAACCAAGGGTAGCCAAGGATAGTCCTTGGAAAATGAGATTGAGAACCTTGTAAGAGTTTGTAATGTTTCGACTGCACACGGTTCGTTCGTACGTAGGTTGGTTAAGTAACGCGTTGTTAAGAGATATCGGTGTGCTCGATCTGATATGAGGTAACGATTGACGGGTCTGAAGTGCATCAGTCGGAAAGGTGCAGGATCAGGAAGCGTAAGGAGTGCGTCTGAAACGACGACGGATAGGAACGCATGAACGCGCGATTTTCTCAATCAGAGAGCAGAGCGTTGTCAGCCGTGGACCTTTTTAAACGATGTCACGGACACGTGAGGAGATGACTAACGCAGAAAAAATGGACGATTGTAATTCGGACATGGTATCGTCACCTTTGACACGTCTGCGAGTGTCGTTCGTAGCGGGAAATAGGGTGAGTGTGGTCGGAGGGAAAATGAAATCCAAGGTTGAGCTTCTCTTCTTATTAGAGGAACTGATAAATAATAGTTCAAGTGGAATAAATTTGTATTAAATTTGAAGAACGAATGTTTCTTATCTATTTCGGAAACTGGTAAGTAGATAAGAAAAACTTTGGGAAGAAATACTAGTGTACTTTAAACATTCGTACACGTTAGAAAAATGGAAATTTGTTTATTAGTTTAATTCTTTCGTATCGAGGAATTATTTCGAGCCCCCTTTCTAATTACAAGAAACTTAATTTCGTAAATTTATGGAACATACGTGCGTTCAAATTAATGCTCCGTTTTATTGTTTATTTAATTTAACTGAAAGTAATTAATCATACGATTCTAATAACACTTCCAATCTATACCTCTTAATTGAAATAAAACAATTTTGCTCTAAATCAGTTAATAATAATTGCAAAATCACGAAACAACCGTCACATTTCGAGAGGTATAGTCGATGGAAGAAATATAGCGAGATCGTGAATTGGGTTAGGCGTCAAAGTGTTGCTACTTGATGTTTTAATTTACGACTTTGCTATATTTCTTCCACCGACTGTACAAAACTAATTCTTCCTTTAACAGGCGCGTACTAAGCAGACATTCGAACTCAATTATCTACGAAATGATATTCCGTGTAAAGATAACAGTGGCCATTTATTCAACATTAAGGAATCACTGTTTCTTAAGAGATAACACTAAACAAATCCATGAAAAAAAAATTTTTTAAAATAGGCGGAAAGTCTTCACCGGAGACTTTCGTCTCTGAACATCCTTTAAGTGAATAACATTAAGAAATATCACTAAGCAAATTTATAAGAAAATATCCAAGAAAATTTCCAAGAAAATTAAGGGAAACATTTTCAAGGAAAAAGGCGAAAAATTTCCAAGCAAAGGTGGGAGAAATCCCCGAGAAAATAGGCAACAAATTTCCAAGAAAAGGGGGCAGATCTCTAAGGAAATTAGGCGAAAAATTTCCACGAAAAGAGGGGAAAAATCTCTGAGAAAATTAGGCGAAAAGTTTCAAAGAAAAGAGGGGAAAAATTTCCAAAAGAAAGGGGAAAAGATCTCCGAGAAAATAAGCGCAAAATTTCAAAGAAAAGAGAGGAAAAATCTCCGAAAAAATTAGGCAAAAAATTTCCAAAAGGAGGGAGGAAAAATCTCCGCGAAAACACACGAAAAATTCCCAAGAAAACAGGCGAAAAATCTTCACCGCAAAACCTGTCTTTCCCCAAAACTTCGTTTCCACAAGAACATCTGTCGCGCGAAGGCTAATTTCGATATTTCGGACAGCGGTTCGGTTCGGAAATACCATGGGGAAAAGAGGTATTCGTGGCTGGAATCTCGTCGAAAATTTCGAACGTTGGGGCACGCGAACGTGGCCGATTTCAAGCTTGTTGACGATCAACCCGGAGAGCCTGGCAAATAGAGAGAAAAGGGAGGGGGGACAAGGAAGAACAAAAGCGAGACAGAGAGAGTATTTCGATTTTTCCGTCGGTTCCGCGCGGCGGCCACGCGTGGAACGTGGTCAGCGTGTGTGCGTTTTGCATCAGAGTGGGAGAGGTGCGCGACCCACGGGGTTATCACCGGTTTCTCTGTGTACCTATATCAATCCTAGCTTCGTTTCACGTATCACGCTCCGAAGCGTTGCGCAGGA